GGTGTTTGCACATAATAGCCTACTTTCTTAAAAAAGCATTTCAGGGACTACTTTAATATCTAGTTAATTTTCTGTAAAACTCACATGCAGAAAATTGACCTTTTTGTGCCTCTTAATATGCAAACCTAGGGGAAAAACCAGAAGAATAATGAGAAAAGCTAACTTTATTGCATATTAAACACTTAATTGTAGAAGTACATTGAGACTGGAGATGTCCACATTAAAAACTGTAATGCAACAAATGATTATGAAATGTTAATCAACTGTTAATTTATTTACCTTTGCAATTCCATTTAAGCTAAAATATTGCATTACCGAAAATAAATTCATTTGCATAGCAGAAGAGCTCTTGAACCTAAGATCAAATCTTTTTTTCAATGCTCAAAGCAATCTTTATTAAACTATAATTATTTCTTAAGCCTCCAAAAATGTTCTACTTTACAGGGTTTATGTTACTGATAAGTCAACCAATATCCCACACATCACTCAAACCAAGCTGACGTGTGTTGTAAAATTTCCTGAACATAAGTTAAAAATCAAATACATGATCATAAGCTGAGTTTTTTCCATAGAATTTTATAGCACTATGAGAATCCTTCTATATCTTTTTTGTGAAAGGGTTAAAATAATTTCAGATGCATAACCTCTCTTGCCAAATAACGTCCACAATTACTTTTATTAACAATTCTACAATACAGTGTACATTTTCCCAAATGATTCAAGATTTCATCTTAAACTGATCTAAGGAGAAGAAAGAAATAATTTATCTCAGTAGTTCTTCAAGAACAACTGAAAACCTGATTTGTATCTACAACAATAACCTGCAAAATAGCAAAAAGGTAACAACACACAGTACCTTAAAGGTACATTTTCCTTTTCTGCCATCAATACATCATTTAGTTCAATATCGGAAAGGTGGAAAAAAGGTGATAAACTGTTGTGTAACTGTGGAACTTTTGTAGAACTGTCTCTATCTGCACTGCTAAGAATAGCTTCTTGTGTGGGCTGCCTTCACCTATAAAGAGGGCTACGTCTTGCAGCAGTTTCACTTTTCAAATTTTAATGATGCAGCAAAAGTAATATGGAAAGAGGTAGCTTCTTATTGCACACAAGTAAAACAAAAACAGAGAGTACAAATTAAGCAGTGACATAAAAATGTACACGTGCTCCAGGTCTCCTTCCTACATGTTAGCACACTAGCATACTAGCATATTTCTCAAAACTTTCAGCTGCATGATACTCTCTCGTACATTCACACTGCATATTTCATTCACTGGTTGAACAACAAAAGGAGTACCAGAACTACAATACTGGAGTCCTCAATCAAGATTCTGTTGGATTACATCACAAGAATAAACACTTTATATATAAACAAGCATTTGAAAAAAACAACAACCACGAAAACCAAACAACTTCTGTAATGTACTTTGTACATATTGAACTCTTTGTCCTTGTGGCTATTCCAGAGAAAGAAATTTATAGTGGATTCACTCTCAGAAATACAATGTACTTAGCAACTGCAGAGCAAGAGCACCACTCAGTGGAATTATCAGATGAAACAAAACTGTAAAGTCAAAGTTATGTATTCACAACACAGCAGTAAAAACAGTTGCAGGTAATTCTACTAAGATAAAAATATTTCTCAAAAAAAATTTAGGTGAAAAACCTGCTATCTTTAGTTTATATTGCAGACACAATTTTAAATTCTGCCCCTAACGTTGCTTATTTGCTGGCTTCCTTTAACACATACAATTATTAAGTTTTCAATAGTATCATATTTCTTTTCAAAAAATACAAATTGTAATTGCAAAAAGGAAAATGTATGGCCATAAAAAAAGACCTCTTTAACATTTGGAACCTGGTATTTTATTTAATATTTATGTAAAGTTACATAATACAGAAAGCAATTACACAACAAGGTGCTGACACACTGATGACAGCTATTTTTCATGCACAATGACAGGCACTGTGGTTCCTTCCCTTATCAAAGACAGAAAAGATGTATACAAGCTGTTGACAGCTAGATTACTTTAGGACAGACTATGCTAGATGTGGAACTTCAGATACTGGAAAGCCAGAAATTTTCTAATGATGCATTTTTTTACTCCTCTGTATACAATGTGGAGCTTTAATTCATATTGTGGATACAGTGACTTGCCCTAGTAGCCCCTTTTCCTGTTAAAAAAAATAGAATATAAAAATTAAATATCTAAATCTCTGACAAAAGTGGGAGATGTGAATAAAGTAGCCACAGTTAAAGGTAGGTAAATGACCCATGTTCAGGAATCACTAGCTTGTTTCAGATTGGTCATCTGGATACCTAGTTTTTCAGTATCACTTTATTACAAAAAAAACAATTTTCATTCCATCATTCGTCTTTGGAATCATGAGCATCTCCAGAATAAATAACTACTTTCTCTCTATAAGTAAAAACACTGAAGCCTGTTCATACCACATGTCAAAGCATTGCTTAGTCTCACAAGCCCGCAATCACAAATTAAATCCCCACAGCTGCTGAGTGCTGCTGCCCAGGGGGATGTGGCAACCTTTTCTCTACTGTATGAGGTCATGACTGCTGCCATCAACAATTCCAGGACACAACGGCAGGAGCCTCTCTTGCTACTGAAGAAATTAAGAACTGAATTTGTACCTACACCCCATTTTTACATCACTGAAAACTGAGTTCAGCTTCCCCACTTTTCCTGCGTTTCTGCTGAGATTAAACTCTGCCCGATACCAAATACTTCAAAGTTCAGCTTCATGTTGTTATTTGGAAACCCCGGGATAGGCAACCAAAAAGATGCATGGCAGAAGTGAAACAGCAATCAAAACATTGATAGAATGAACTCAAGATAATTCTTTCCTACATGTAGCCTGCTAAAGATGATAGAACTAAGAGTTAGTTACATTATATACTGAGGGTCTAATTTAGATTCCACATCTCTTACAAGAGCAGTTATTAGGGACTCTGAATGAAGAATACACTTAGACACAATGTAAAAGAACCTTGAATTGTTCTGACACTGCCTGTGGAATGAGCAACAGATCAATGGACACGGATTTATCCACTATTTCAGAGATTTACCCTGAGGGAAATGAGAAAGGAATAGTGAATAAGTAAGTAAAAAATACAAGAGAAAGGAATCAGTAGAGGTTTTTTGGTTGTTTTTTTAAAATAAACCCAGATAGTATTTAAGTTAAAAAATATTTTTTCTATTAACTGGAAAAGAACTAAGAATATATTCCTTTAAAAAGTTGAATGTAGTATATTTTAAATGAGAAGTAATACCAATACAAGTTTCTAAACCTAAAGTTAAACCTCCAGTCTTCACAATTTTTTCCTACTTTCAGGAGAGTTTAGCATATTTTATACGACTTGTCAGCTGGACATGGGTAATGTCTCTTTAAAACGCCAACTACATTTCCAGCTGCCAGCAGAGACATCCCTGTCTCCATGTATGGCAAGTATAAATTGTTTTCAATTTTTAATTTCCCAAGAAAGGCTTAAAATACAAAGGAGAATGTTTGAACACTTTGATTGCCACTATTTACCTACTGGAACAGAAGAGTTTTTTAAAATGAGTAATTAGGGAATCTAGCGGTAAGGCTGTGGCAAGTGCAGCTGAGGTATTTGCAAGGGTGTTGGGTCTGGGATGTTAATTGCCTGTAAGGCACTGCATTTCAGCTCAACGCCAAAACAGTGTTGAAAACACATCAGTACTTTATCTACTGCTGCACTTTGCATAGCAGCAAGGCCTTTGCTGTCACTCTGTCTCCCCAGCAAATAGGCTGGGGGTGTGCAAGACACCGGGAGGGGACATAGCTGGGACCCCGTTTTGTTTTGTTTTGCTTGGGACAGCTATGATAAAAGCACTGGCTTTGAGCTTAATCTGGTATTTGGGCCCTGCATTACTGCAGTCCCTTCAGGGCTGTATCTCTTCCAGAGCAGCTTTATCCATGGGCCATAGCTCCTGTCACAAAATGCAGAACTGTGCTGGTGTGGGGTCCTTCATCCCACACTGTGGCAGCACACACTGGCTACCAGCCCTGGAGTGAAGGTCTAAAGTAGATGGAAGTGAGACACAGAAAAGAAGACCTTCGCTTTGGACTTCAGTAACATTTCTGTGCATTTTAGCTAAACATGCCAATCAAAAAATGTACACTTGTAATAATGGTTAAAAAGATGTAATCAGAAAATTATCCAAGTCAGGGCTTATTTGCATCTTTACATTACTACATAAATTATTTTGTAGAATAAATGCTAGGCACAGTGAAGACTGTGAAGAGAGATTTTTTAAGAACACAGTTATTACTGCCATTAAATGATCTTGATACAGCTGTATTTGAAAATACACTTTTCTACAATTCTACTTTATAATTTTGGTCCTGAAGCAAATTAATATAGTCAGATTAGTGCAGCACTTCATACAAATAAATATGCCCACATCTAAAGTTTGTGACATTAAGCATTTTACTAGGGGCATCTCAAATGCTCCCTCATGATCCCTTCTCACTGAGGATTTCTGCAGATTCAGCAGATCTTCAATGCCAGTTTGCTACAGTATTGGGTCTGGTGCTGACACACAGTGTCAACACTTAATGTGGACAGGGGAGCAACACAGTCACAGGCTACTAAGTTCTTGTGGATATGGATCCCACTGTTACTAGTTGGAAAGTTGCTCCTGCTTATACCCAAGAGACAGTAAACCTGTAATTTACATATCTGCAGATGCCAGTCCTGCCAGTATCATAGCAAGATTACAATGTTTTCTACAGCTCTGCTTTTCTAAACTGGAAATATATCAATTTCTAGAATAACAAAAAATCCTCAATAAACATTGAGGAGCACATTTAACATTTTTTAAAAAGCAATTACACAATACATTTTTAAACTCTAATTACACCAAATTTCTAGGACATAGACTAGTTCTTTGGGGAAAGGTTGAAATGTGTAGTCCTGAAACACTACAGAATCTGCATTGATGACCAACATGCATTACCTGGTAAACTAGTCTTCATAATATCGATGCCAACTTGAAGCTCAGGCTCAGCCGCAAGAACTGCATAATCTCCTTGATGAGAGACGTTGAAGTTGTAATTCGAATACATACTGAGCACGTTATTTGCCAGGAAAGGTTTTCCTTTTGATGTCCTTTGCAAGTGTATTTCATTCCAAGGAATGCACAACTTCTCTGCAATTAATTTACGGATCAGCAGGCGGCCAGCCTATGAAATAAAATAGGAATTGTTCATACAGAACTGTTATGCTCTGTGCAAAATATCTGTGGTTGCTAAAAAGCCACCTGCTTAAAAAAATATGCTTTTATTATTGCCAATAGAAAGTGTATTCTAGCCAAATCACCTCCATTTCTCTTTTTATAAAAGCCTGTCAAGTAAATTTAACCAAGATTTCACCAGAGCCAAGTATGTAACACATTAGTTATCACTATTAGCACAACACCTCACATGACCAAACAAAAAAGCAGTCCTAGTCTAAAAGAGTATTTCTTTCTCTATCTTATTAACTTAGGATACTTTATTGCACAGATAAATACTTTTTATACAAAGCAGAATAGTAAAACTGTCCCAAGAGCTTTCCTTTCAGTACATTCAGTTACCTACAAGCCAAATGCAATACTGAACAGCTAAAAATTATTAATAACTTCTTCTAGACTAATCAGATCTGTCTTACTACCACATTGTTATGTGAGATTTAAATTTAAATTATGTAAAATAGCTGTACTCTCTTCCACACTACACTGCCCTCACGTATAGTCACCTCGAGTACACTGATTTTGTCTCATAACTTGACATCACAACATAAAAACTGTAAAGTCTTTCAGAATAGCTGTTAATACCACACTGTACCACATCCCTTCTTCCTCCTAAGTGAAGGTGTAGGTAAAAGTACTTTGTAACGGATTTGCCTCCCAGAAAAGCCTTTGAAAGGCATATTCTCCTACGAGCAGTCACAAATGTGGGCAATACTGAATCTGCAGGGAGACAAACCCGTCCCAACGGGAAAGGGCTGGTCCCGGGGCCCACGAGCGGTGCCAGAGGGGTCTCCTCAGCGGAGCGGCCTCCGCCCGCGGCCCGACGGGCCGCCGGAGCCTCCTCATGGCCCCGCCGAGGGGCA